GTTCCAAGTAATATTATTGTCAACTTAACAATAAATTTGTAATAAAAAAAGTGTATTTTACATAAAACTTGTAAATTTTCCTAATCCTAGAGCTTGCAGCTTTGTCGCCCCTTATAGAGGAGAATTTGACATAAAACTTGTAAATTTTCCTAATGCTCGAGCTTGCAGCTTTGTCGCCCCTTATAGAGGAGAATTTGCTTCAGAAGAAACTAATCCGAGAGTGCCATGACACTTTGTAGGCCGGTTGCATGGGAACGTATACGCAAGCCTTGAGTTTGGACGCTACTGTTGGCCTAACCAAGGATGATGGACAATGTCAAAGAGGATGCGCGGACCTGCCTAGTGTGCCAGAAGGGCAAGTTCAAGAGAGTGAAACCAATTGAATTGCATGAACCTCTAGATAGGCAATGGGCTAGTATGTCCTTGGAGATTTCAAGCTTGCCAAAGGAGTAGTGTTATCATCCCAAGGGAATAATAATCATTATTTATTTGTCTTGCACATAGTTTCATGTCAAGTGTACATAAAAAAAAGTGTATGTTTTGTATGCACAAACAAGAATGCCGGTAGACCATGCTAACCCACTTTAAAAAGTCTTGGCTTCAAGGTTATAACTTCCTTATTCACATAAGGAAGGATGCTGCGTCTAATTTTCATCTTTATATAAAACTACGTTCCTCAAAAGCAGTGATTTAAAAATCGGTGACCCAATCCAGAATTGGACGATCCAAATCGAGAATCGCCATGACCGTCCAGAATCTGGTAAAAAATCGGGATTCATTCAATTCAGAATAGTAGACTTGCCGATTTTTACACAGAACCGCCGATACCGATGATTCTTCACCGAGTCTAACCGATTCCAACCGATTCTTCACCGAGTCAAAAAAAAAAAAAAAAGGGATGAACAGTTTTTTTGTGAATTATTTTTTTAAAAAAAATTGGGACAAAAATTATTGCTTTCGCCGATTCTTCCGATCCGATCCACCAATTCCCCCGATCCGACAAAGTATGGGTGTGACCGATTCGTCTCATTGCTTCGTTTTTTTAAACCTTGCTCAAAAGAAATAAAAATATCGTATAATGATTAGGTTTGTTTATCTTTGTTTAAAAATTTATATTTTAAAGTTTTTACTTATTCATTATAAAAAAAAAAAAGTTTTTACCTATTAATTAAAAAATTGTACTCACTTTATTAACGAAGAAAACTATTTTATGCTTCTAGTGTTCCATAAACTATATATTCAACCATTATAAAATGTTTAGAGTAATATTATTGAATGTTTTGATATTTTAAATTTTTTTTTTTTTGGATAAAGTTAACTGGATATTTTAAATTTTTTTAGTTCCATTTTTTATTAATTAATAAAAATGTAATTTCTTTATTCAAACAGAAAAGGATGGGTGTCTAGAAATCAATAATATTGGGGGAACCCAAATAAATGTTTTATTTTTTTTCTTGAACTTATTATTCATGAATCAAACAATTGTAGTCTCTTTATTCAATGAAGAAGAATACCGTGTCTAAAAACACTAGTTAACCTCGATCCTAATCTTAGGGAACCTTAGTTAAGGGCACTCAATGACCTTAATCCAAAAACTATTAGGGAGCCATGATTAAGAACACTCAATGTAACGATTGCAATACTACGGGAACTCTTGTTAAGGGTACTCGAGGGCCGTATTTCCAATTCTAGGGGAACCCTATTAAGGGCACCATCAATAACAATACTACAGGTTCCTTGTTGAGGACACACCAAAACCTCGAAACTTTTGTCAGATGCAACCAATTCCAAATAATTTCTTGCGCAATCAAAGCACGATCCCAAAAAAGTGAGGATCAAAATTCTAGGATCTTGATCACTTAGATATGCATTACAAACACTTCCAAAACAAAGAAGAAAACATTAAACTCTTTCAAAACTAAGATACGCATTATAGAGATGGTGCTCCCTACCATAGGGATGTTCCAGCCTATCGTGATTCCATGCTTGTACCACTCATGCTTCAGCTCCCGCTTCCAAAAACTATAATCTAGGCTTGGGCTTGAATGGCTCAAATTTCGATGATTGCACTACTTTATCGCAAATTCAAATCCTATTGCTGAACTCCAATTAAAATATGTATATCATCATCATCATCCAAGCCTTATCCTAATGATTTGGGATCAGCTACATGAATCTTGATCCTCTATTCTTTCCTATTAAGGGTCATACCCTCAGTAAGACTAAAAGTCACCATATCTTTTCTCACTACTTCTATCCATGTCCTTTTGGGCCTTCCCTTGCCCTTTTAGAGCCTTCCACTTTAACCAAATCACACCTCCTAACCGGTTTTGTAGAAGATTTATGCTACATATGGCCAGCCCACCTAAGTCTACTTTCCCTCATCTTAACACCCATAGCCACAACTAAGTCCCCTTGTATATATTCATTATGAATTTCAATCTTTTCTTGTATTGCCACTCATCCATCTCAACATCCTCATCTCAGCTATGCTCATCCTGTGGATATGTTATTTCTTGACCGCCCGATATTCCGTCCCATAAAGCATGGCTGGTCTTGCAGGCATCCTATAAAACTTCCTCTTCAGTTTCAATAGCATGCGGCGATCACATAAGTTCCCTCGTATATACCCCTCACCACTCTAAAAATTCTTAGAGACGTCTCTAAGAGATGAGATTCACTAGATGCAACTTTATCATGTGGAGTTAATTAGCCGCTAGGGTCTTCCATTCACGATGGCCTCCATCGTACATCTAAGTCTTCTTTGACAAGTGTCTAGGACATGAAATATTCATCTTGTTCCACTTAAAACCCACCAATTCCTTTCTCTTTAGATGATTACCTGCGAGAATCCTTGCTTAATAGAAAGACCACCCAAAAGTGGCCATTTCTAAACTCATCATTCTTCCATAGGGGAAATATTTCACTGAATTGTCGGCAGGGCCACTTGTATTTCTGTCAAGATACAATTGGCAATGCCTCCAACTGTGTTCTGCTTGGAATGACGTCTCTCCTCATTCCGAGTAAATCATACAAAACAATGAAACCAAAGAAAAAGTGATATTTCTAAGTTCAATTAATGAGAATGAACTTATAAGCAGTACATTGACTACAGTTGAATAGCCCACTATGCTTTGTGCAAATTGCAATGGAACAAGATATTCATATGTAGCCTCACAATCCCATTCAAATATCAAATCCAAATCCACTTAACTCCTCACTCCAAGGGCATGTAGATACCCCACAAAGGAAGCATCAATTGAGTGACCTTATCCATCACATTGCTCTCAAACATAGCAAACCACAATAATCACCAAACCTAAGCGTTACTACACATTGCTAGCTTAAGCAATCTCCAGAACCTAAGTCTAAACCAATACCAAAGATCTTCCTAAAAGCCCACCCTACACCCCTCCCTGCTCTAAAAGTAAGGTTACAAACATATTGCAATAGGTTCTAAAGAGAGGAAGAACATTTACTATAGGTTGAAATGTGACACCAATATATATTGTCTTTTTTAATAGAAAAACAGTCCAATTTTCAAAATGCAAAGAAGGTTGATCATTTATTAAATTTGTAGGGATCTTTCGGCAATCAAACAGAATGTGACTTCTCTTAAAAGTTAATATGCAGGAAAAAACAGATAAAAATCAAAACTAAATTAGTTTCTCAAACTATCCGAGCATCCATATAAAACTAATGACAACTCAGTTGTGGAGTGCAACCGTGATAGATCAGAGGCATATGCCATAATTGGAAAGATACCTCCAAAAATATGTGCAGGAATTCCATGAGAGAAGTATTGTTGAACCAGAATCTTATCCACAGCTAACATACCACAAATGAGAAAGACTGTATTGCATTGTCAATTATCAAAAGACTCTCTAATTAGCTATGAAAATAAAAAGACACATTTGAGTGACTACATCCCCGCATTAGATGTATAATTAATTTGTTGACTTGTTCGTTTTCCTCCCTCTTATATTGCAAAGTAAGATATTGATTTGGACATTACTAATAGCATGTAAAGCCACTACAATTCTATAGTATCTCATGTGTGTTAATGGTAATCCAAAACTTCTCAAAATTGCACACCAGTAGAATACAACACATTGAGAGTTGTGAACTTGTCAAACTTCTTTTATATCAATTGTGTTCCAAATTTTGATGCATCATAAGCAGTAGAATACTCTAGTGTCATAAGACACCAATAATCAGTCGCACCAACAATGCAAAAGGCATGTGATGTATTGACATTGCCACATTGGTCCTTATCTTGCCAACAGCCAAATCAACTTCTAATGGAGGGCAAAAATCTTCTTATTTTGTATTTTTATTCAATTTCAATGATGTATATTGTAGTTTTAGTTTTAGATTTTATTTCTAGGGTTTTTAGGATTTCTAGGGTTTTTATTTTTTTATTTACTGTTCATGCGCTATTGTTCACGTGTGTACTATTCACGTTTTACTGTTCACAGTGGTATTTTTGGAAATGTGGCATTGTTTTATGGGTACTTTAAAGTATTAAATATTTACGTGAATTTCAAGTTAAACTAGGATTTCATAGGCTTATAAAAGGTTAGATGTCAAAGTTTGGGGGCAGATGTTATTGGAATAAATTTTATTTTATGAAAGAAGAAAATTCTTCTCTTGGCTTGATTTACAGCCACGTTCTTTCTCTATTATTGTTTATCTTATTTGTTTATGGTTCAGGAAAAGGGTGGATTCAATTTCCCATCTTTTCTCCCTGCATCAACTTCATGAGGCTAAAAGCAAAGCATACAACATATAAATATATTGAAAACATGAGGCAATCTATGTCATAATGAAGCAAGATGAGCATATAACCCTCATGTGTCTTAAAACCAACAAAAAATATTCTCTCTACCAAAATAGAAATCACTCAAAATTAAAAAAAAAAAAACACACATTAACAAAAATAATAAAATCAAAATAATACTACTACTAATAATAATAATAGGTGAGAATTTAAGACGCACCTTTTTTGGCCCTTGAACAACTTGCCTGAACCTACCCACTGGTTTTTTGCAGCTGATCTCCATCGGCCTTAACAAATGGTGCAAACAATCATGCAAGATAATATTTTAACCCAAAAAGTAATTCCAATTTAAAGTGGAATGCACATCTTGTCGTGCCTATTAAATTCAGCATGATACCACAATGATAAATGTTCAAAACGAAAAAATAAATAACTATTAATTCAGCATGATCCCACAGTGATAAAATTTCAAAACAAAAAATAAATAAATTTCAGAAGTTGTGATTAACACTGGTCTTCAGGATACACAAGCCAAACATGAAAATCTGCAAATTAAAGCCCCAGAAAATTACATCTTAAATGAAATTCCAATTTCTTCTTAAACTTAACAGATAAAAAAAATGTATATATTCAAACCCAACAAAAAAATAAAATCAACAAATAATTTGAAAAAGATACACCATACCTATTTTTGTTGGCCCTTCCAAATTTCTTCCCTGCATCTGATTTAGAAGGAATAGAATGTCTGCCATCTGAGAGGGCTCGTTGAAGCTCTTCAAAGGATACATCAGCTAGCTCTCTTTCTATTCCTTCTTCCTATTATCAATAGCCAGTTATCAAAAAAAGAGAAAAAACAAGATCACACTCGCAAAGACCAGCCAGAATGGTAAATTAGAGGTAAAATTTTCCCAAAAGAAAAAAAAACCCTAAGGGGATGATGACTACCCAATAAAAATAATAAAAAACTAGGGCTACAATGAATTTTTAGGAAAATATAATTGAGAGAGAGGAGCAAAACCAGGACAGTCTAATAAGAAACACACAGAATAAAACTGGTGTAGCGTACAATAACGAAAAAACAACTAAAGGGAAATCAGAAAATTAGGGTAGAGGTTTGTGAAAGCAACAAAGGGGAATCAGAAAATTAGTGTTAGGGTTTGTGAAAGTAACTAAAGGGCATCAAATAATTAGGGATAGGGTTTTTAAAAGTACCTCTTCTGAGGATGAACCATGTTCAGAGTCATGCTCCTCAGGGTTCGCCATGGCTACACTCAGGTAGCGTTTGATAACTTTCACTGCAATGTCCTTGGGAATCACCCCTACTGCTGACTTTCCTAGATTTTGAGATGCAGGTGAAACTTGGTATAGATTATGGGATGCAGGTGAAACTTGGTAAGGTGAAAGCTGGAAACCAATAAATTGTGGTGCTGGTAATTTCACTTGTTTGGCAATGGGAAAGCTGGAAACTGTCTGTAATATCGCTCATTATGTATTTCATTGATATGATGTGCAAAATGCAATGTTTAAAAAATATTTCATAATTAAATAAGATTCCTTCCATTCATCCACCAATATTTACATAAATATTGAAGAAAATTAATTTTCTTAATATCAAAATTTCACTCACACAAGCAGCCCTCAAGAGCAAACATATATCACTTCTGTTGCCTCAAGTTTTCACCATAGTTCATCAACCCTTCATTATAATCATCGCACCACTAAAAAAAAGTACATCGTGGACACCTAAAATACAATCTATTGGGATTTTTTTGGGAACATGACGTAGTAGGATTGTATAGTATATGGCAACGAGGACAGGAATGTCGAGGTAATTCTCCATTATTTGTTGAGGCCAATGACATTTTAATGGCACCTAAATATAATATCAAATTATATTACTTGTGTAATCTTGGGAGCAACAGCAAGTTTGAATGGTTGACTTAGTAAACGAAAGTTGTGGATCACAGTGCCCAAAATAGCAAAGCTCCCATCATAACTTGTGGCAACATTGCCCAAAGAAAAAATTCTCGACTTGTATTTATCGATAGACCAAACCAAGACCTCAGTTTCTTAACTTGTATGTATCTGTAGATTAATTATTTCAGATTTCAATGAAAAAGACACGAATTAGAACAAATGAGACCAGAAGCAAGTAACATTTGAACTTTTGAAGTCGCAACTGCTAGTTGAAGTTTGATGTTCTTGAATGTGTCACACATTTAGATCAATTATGAGCCTGTTTGAATGTATCACACATCTAACAAGACTTGAAACCCAATGAATGTTTTGGTAACAATCAACAAATACATATGCATTTGATAATTCTAAGCTTAACAATTTGTGAACATGGAGGCAGCAGGAGCATTGACGCTCTAACCTGATCAAAATAACTAAAAAAGATAACAATAATCTTCTTGTCCTATGAAACAGTAAACATAAACCAAACAAGTAAACATTTGTGATGGCCAAGTCGAAATGATCAAGTGTCATGTATATGCCACGAGCCACAATCTCATATTTTCAACTGCTAGGCAACAACTATCACATTTAACAGAATTGAAATTGGGAGAAAACATGAGATGGGTATGCGAAGAAAAGGGGCAACACAAGAAAAACAGAAAATGGGCACAAAAGTGCACAAGAAAATACCAAAAAGGGTAAAAAATCACAAGAAAAAATTAATTTCTACTGACCCATTCGATTCAATGAAAACCCCCCATAAACACCACCAACAATATCGAAATTCTAACCATGAGATGTTTTCCATTCTATGTACACAAAGTGCATAAAATAGGCAAAAAAAGCGAGTTAATATTTCTGGTACAAATAACCAGACAAAATAACGTTTGAGGTGCTCAAATGCACAAATAGATCTCAAACATAGTGGTAACATGATACAAACAACTAGCAGAAAGTAAAAAAAATAAAAAACAAACAGTAAAAACCAATTGAAACACATTCATGAAGAAATAAGCAAAAATAGCAGGAAAAAAAAAAGATTTGGGGCATATCATCGTAATAAACAGTAAAAAAATAAGAACTCACGGATTTTTTGGGGCTTAAACTCTTCAGCTAGAGCTCTCTGATGATGGCGATTCAGCTTACGGCTGATGTGTTCCTTCTAGGGTTACAAAGAGAACTGTTATGGAGCTTACGACTGCCCTGTTTCTTCTTAAACCCTCTAGGGTTTGCACAGGGAATCCGCCGTGGACCGAATACATTAGGGTTGTCAAACGGGTGATAACTGACGTTGGGGGCAAAGTGGCGTACTTTTACCCCTTTTACATGTTTGTCAAATGCCACCTCAAATCATAGTTAGTAATAGTTAGCGAATCGCAGTTTAATCGGTGATTGTTTAAAAACATCGGCGTTTTCATGGAAACAGTTTTAAACGGTTGGTGGCTTTTGAAAAAGTGAAAAAATCTCGTATTTTTCACAAAAACCACGATTTTTTCATAATGCGAAGTAAATCGGACCAAAAAATCGTATCTTTTTTTTACCTATAATTTTTTTTATGTATTTTGTGTATTACAATCATTGCTGCTTTCATGCTTTTGAAAAAAAATATATTATTTCAAAAATAAATTCTAAAATATAATTATTTATCCCCATTGTGTTCTTCAAAGCCACAATTGCCGATTGAAAGTATGAAATTTTTTGGCCTTTTTTTTTAATTTAAACAACTTTGTTATTATGGAAAATCGTTGTGTAAATGAAATAATATTATTTATAGCAAATCATTTCGGAAAATAAATCATTGTGTAAAGAAAATCATATACATGCATATTTCTGTTATTATTTGTGGTAATTGTTTTTATGAAGATAATGTTTATGGCACGAGTTAGAGCTCAAAACATAGTCTTTTACTCAATGGTTTAAAAAGAGAATCGGTGACCTGGATTGGGCACCTAAAAAACCGATTCGGATCGGCGAATCGACGATACGGATCGGGAATCGACTGAATTGGTGGGATTAAAGCTTCAAAAAATCCGAAAAAAATATTAAAATTCATTATAAATGTTGTTTTTTAGGAATCCAATAAGAAATGAGGGTACTACATTATTAACTTTCATTTTTTTCATCAATTTGTAAATATTGAGATGCTCTTTCCCTGTATAAATTTAAGTATTAAATTTGCATCACATAAAAGAAAAATCATAGAATTATCATGGATAAAATATATAATTATACATGTATTATATAAAGAGTAGACTAAATCAATGAAAGAATGACCATTAAAATCTCGTTTTGACGAAAAACCCTAATCCGCTAAAAAAACCCAAATTATTACAGCCTAACTAACTATAATCCAAAATTATTACAACCTAACTAATTATAATATTATATACTGAAATTATAATTGTTATTTTATATTTTATAATTATTTTATTAGATAAATAATAACAAATTAAAAATATTTTATAATATTATTTAATTTAAAATGTATTATTGACAACTGTAAGAAAAATAATACATTATATGATTTATAATGTAAAAATTAATAAATAAAATAAAAGATTTGGTTATCAATGTAAAAATTAATAAAATACGTACAAATTTTGGAAATAACACTTTAATTTATTATATGCCTAAGGAGGAACAAGTATTAGCTCAAGATATTATATGGCCCAAGGGGGGATTCGAACTTGAAAAGTCAAAGCAAATAACATTAATGACAACCATTATGCCTCCTTAACATATGTGTTTAAAATTACCTACTAATAGCATATATTTACATTCTGTTTTTATTTAATTATGTTTGAGAATTGTCCCACATCGAAAGATGAGTATTCAAATATGCTATATAAATAACTATGTAATTGAAAAATAAACACAAGTGTGAAAACACTAGGGTGTCTGTGCACATGCACACGTGCATATGCGTGTTGCACGTATGGCACATGTGAGAGTGGTGTGTGAAGCGTACACACGTTTGAATGTCTTTTTGAGGCCTGAACCGATGCACGCATACATGTGTGTGTCGCACGTCTAACACGTGTGGAAGTGTGTACCGCTACGCCTGAACCGGCTAGAACCGTTGCACGCGTGCATGTGCATGTAGGACGTCTGGCACGTGTGGGAGTGTGTGTGGCACGTGTGGGAGTGGTGCGTGTCGCACGCGTGACATGTACACACGTGTGAATGTGTTTTTAAGGCCTGAACCGGCTAGAACCAGTGCACGCGTGCACGTGTGGGAGTGTGTACCGCTAGGCCTGAACCGGCTAGAACCGGTGTACGCGTGCATGTCCGTGTCGCATGTCTAGCACATGTGGGAGTGTATGTAGCACGTGTAGGAGTGTGTACCGCTCGTGTCACACGTACACACGTGTGGGAGTGGTGCATGTCGCACGCGTGACGCGTACACATATGTGAATGTGCTTTTGAGGCTAGAACCGGAGGAAACCGCTAGAATCGGGTGGGAACCGGCGCTTCTGCTCTAGAACCAGGCAGTTCACGGTTTTGTGCTGGAACTGACACTAGCTGTGCCGATTCTCGAGTCGAACCGGGCGAGTCCGGTTCGACTCGTCGATTTTTAAATCATTGCTTTTACTGATGAATGAGAAGCAGAGAATGTGAATACATGACCAAATAATCAATATTTTGTTTTTGATTATGTGATCACAAAGATTAATAATATACTGTAAATTTATAGGAGCAAGCAATCCCCCAAACCTATCCTTCAGCTATGCTTCATGTTTCTCCAACAAAATGAAAAACCCTCATCTTTTTCTCCCTCTAAAAATCAGGACCTCTTCACGAATCAAAAAATCAATGAGGGTCTTCACAAATCAGTATAATTAAGGTTTTTTCTCAAACAACAACTCAAATCAGAGAGAAATATCCTATTCAAACCATCCCAAATCAGTATCCCATCTTCTTTTTCTCTCTTTAAAAATCAGTTAGGGCCTCTTCTATTAGGGCCCTAGGGTATGTGAAGTCAATTAACTCTTCCTTCTTCCTTCTTTTCTCTATAAACCAAAGCCGATGAACTTTTCCTACTTCCTTCTCTCTCTATAAATCCTAATGGCTATGAGCCCAGTGCCTATTTCTTCTCTTCCTTCATCCTTCTTCTCTCTCTCTAAACCGTAAACACAAATATGTGAAACACAAATTTCTCGGAGCCTATTTCAATTAAAGAAGTTTATAAAACTTTAACCATAGTTATGTTATGACTATAATTACCATAATATAGTTAAATCATTGTGACGAGAAAACAAAAAGGCAACCTTTCTATGCTTCCCCTACAACATAGAAGTTCGATCTTCCCCCTTATCCAACCATTTATTTTGAATGGAGGGCTAAGAATGCCTCAACCACAATGTCATGTCTCTACACTATTTTATTTTAATTTTTTTCTATAAACTATTTTGACATCAAATTTTGAACTTCCATTCTGCTATTAAACTCGACATTAGCGAAAAAATATATATTTTTTTCAATAAAATAAACAAAGGGTATTTTGGTCATTATATTTTATCGAAAATTTATTTTTATTATTTTTTATAGGTGCACCCCAATGAGAAGATGGCACATACCAAATTTCATAATCATACAATTTGTATAAAACAAAACTAAAAATAAAATACTTTGAGACGTCGGATCTAATATCAAACGGTAAGTGGCTCTCTTGATCTAAATTAGACGGCTGGATGGTAAGGGAGGATAGTACTTCTATGTTGTAGAAGAAGCATAAAAACCTTTCCCAAAACAAAAATCATGTATTTTTTTTTGGTACCAGCAAAGTAGGTGTGACGTTTTAAGTATGGGCGTGGTTTATATAGAGCCGAGGCTATAGGCAATCAAATTAGAGCCCACCTTCAAATAGCGTTGAGAGATATGGTTTTAATATTATAACTTTTTATAACAACCTTCAAATATATTTTCATCTTTAATTATAAAAATTAAAACTTAAAAAATAGAAAATCTTGAAAATTGACGGTAAAAAAATGCATTACAAGATGCACTATTCCAAAACTTGAAATCCATTTTCTTCTCATGTCTATGCATCTTGATGTCGAGATGATCAATTTTATGATGTTTGGGCAGCAAAACAACTTCTTATAGTGAAATTTTTTAGGTAGGCTCTAATTTGATTGTTTAGAGCCTAGGCTCTATATAAACTTTCCCCTTTAAGTACTTGATGTATTTATGTAGTATATTTGTCACCATATCATAGTTAAAATATTTAATGAAGAAAATCATATAGTATATTTATTTTTGGTATGTAATAAGTAGGTGTGATGTTTTTTAAAGTATTTAAAAGGTAGATTCATATGGTTACTTTTTTTTTGTATATACTAGTTAATTATGTATTTAATATTTGATGATTGGATGGGAGTCACGAGGCATCTAAATTAATTGACTTAATTATATTAGTCTAATAAAATTTTTATGGATGAATTAGTTATTGATGGCTTTGACATAATTTTTATTTTTTAGAATTTATAATATTATAAATTTATTTGATTTTTTTACTCCGATTTTTTTAGCCTAATCCGATATGTTAGCAATATCTTTATATGAAGTATTTTTGCCGATCTGTATTTTTTACCCAATTTTTTCATCCGACTTTTTAAAATAAAAACGATTTGTTTCTGATTTTATGGTGAGCCGATTTATTGATAGTCCCCGACTTGCTAACTATGCTCTAATATAATGATCATGAATATGACAAAACAAATAAATTTTAAAAACTAAAAATAATAATTCTAGTAAAAAAATTGGACCTTTAGCTTCTATTGTTTTTGGATGGAACACTTACTTGCATCCATCTTTAAGATGGATGCTTGACCTTTTTGGACCGCACAAATAAAAATGCGGTCCAGCCTGGATGAAACAATTTTTTTTATTTTAATGATAATTAGTAAATAGTCTCATTTTATACAATCCCAAAGTTAATACGTAAATAAGAGTAAAACAGGTTTTATACTTTTATTTTTGTATGGACGGGGTTTTGGTGCGGTCGCTGGCCTGCTATCATGACTTATAACGTTTACATTGCACGGTAGACGTAATTTTTTGATGCTGAGCGCACACATGTACCCAGGCAAGGGAAACTGAGAACCAAAAGTACTAATTGCTGCAGAGTATGCGTGTGCGCACGTGTTTGGCTGAAAGATATATTTAAGAAAGAAAAACTTTGTACTTTTATGGAAGTCAAAATTTTTTTTTTGTGGAAGTCGAATGTTTAAATACGTTATGGGTACTAACCTACTGTATTTGATAACCTGTTCTATTGTTAAAAAAGTTTTGCTTATGTGATTATAACAAAT